ATATATATGTATGTATATATGTATATATATATGTGTATGTAATTATACGAATACATCAATAAATAAACATATATAAATATATTGCACATACCGGGAGGAAGTTGAGCAGGCCGTAGCATTTTAGTACCAGTTTGGAAGCCAGAAAATACCGGTCTGGACTCTAATGGTTGCGTTGGTGCTTCGGTAGTCTGCAGCAGTCGCATAGTCTTCAGGGTGTCCAGCACATCTAAGAGACGTTTCATTACCTCGCGATTGGTGCTGAGGTTGGGTGCAATTAGCTCACGCATAGCCTGGGTGGCACAGAAAGTAAGAGAGAGCGGCCGTAGAGCGAATGAGTGGGGATGTATGGTGTTGTATACTTTGGGTACGAAATGGTAGGAGAGTGCGTGTGAAGTGTACGAGTGATGGATGCAGCTCAATGTATGCATGTATGGCCTTAAAGAGTCACGCATGTTTATATGATAAGGTACCCAGTAAAAGCGTGGACACAGCAAGGGGCGCTCTATAGAACAACCAGTGTCTTGTTGCAAATGACCATACTGACTCAGAATCTGTACGAGTAGCAGTGTATGCATTCCATTGTATGAACAAGGCACACAAACACAGCTCAGACACACGCGCACACACACCTACACAAGCAGGATATGCAAACAAACACCCACTCACAACCATCACAGGAGAATGAATACCTGCAGACCACACACCTACAGAAACAGGATACGCAATCAAATATGCACTCACAACCATCACAGGCGAATGAATACATGTACACATTGGCTTTCAGGTACAAAATTGAAGGCGTTCTCTAGTACCTGTTTTGACATACGATAAGTACGCATACACATACATAATGGGTATAAGCGTGTGTATCTTTGTAAAATTAAAACTGTAGCCCCTTTGAAGCGCACATAAATATACACTACTGTTATATATAATACATAGACACATGCGTGCTATTCACCACACCAACACACCGGGGGGCAGCGCTTGATGGGTGTCAGGCGTTGGTACTTATCGTCCAGCATCTCCTTGAGATCAGGGACTTCTCTCCACACGCCCACGACCTCACAGAACAGATGGATGGGCATGTTATCCACCAATTGCCGTAGGTGTAGATCACACTTGTAGTTGCTCGACCCAATCGCTGTGTCTGAGTGGGGTGCTGCTGGCTGTGTATAGTACATATCAGAGCGCATTCAGCATGGTTGCACAAGATTAGGTATGTATATCCGTGCTTGCCTACATACACACACACCATCATACAAGTATATAGACCCTGCTACAGACGCGCATGATAATTAAGAAAAAGGGCCGTGCTAGGCGAGTCGCGAACTCTGAACCCCTTTGAATACAGAAGCTTCGCTCGTGCTTGCACCATTGCAGTATAGCTCATATTAATACCCAACCAGAACCACACACCACCAATCATTAATGATTCAACAGGAATACGAGTGGCAAAATGAAGTACATTACTAATCGACCAGAGCCAGGTGTTTGGCATCTATACGCCAGTCCAAGGGGGGGAACCAAACATGCAAACAATTGTGCAGAGGATGTTTGCACCTATTCCGGCCACTGAAAGTCATGGGATGATGCTGCGAGATTCGGCGTACACGCAGATGCATTTGTAGGCGCAAGTGAACATTTATAATGTATGGCCGAAAAAATGGTTCCTTCAAGAACACTCTATACCACAAGCAACCACTTACACGGATCTCTACGCATATTATCAATCGAAAATACAGATCGGATAGTTCTCTCCACTACCATGAGAATGCACACATATATACATATACGTACTACATAAACGCAGTTCAATTTGAACCATGACACACACCGTGCATACTTGCACATACACCGTGTATACTTGCAGACACACACATACAAACTTATATTCACACATACTAAATTTGACACACACATACATGCATACATACATACATCCATGTACAATTGATCTCTCCCACATATACATACATCCATTCATGTACACGTCAATCCACACACACTTACCACATCAACTTTCACATCATGTGCTGCTCTTAGCCACATGTACTCCTCGGGCCATCCGCTGTATGGGTCGTTGTACGGCTCAAATGTGGGCACTTTGCCTTCCACTGTAACTTTCGTGCGCTTACGATTGCGTGTTTTGAAGAATTTGTACTGCGAGTTGCGTGCCTGGGCTGTGATGGAGGCGTGGTCGTTGTTGCTCTGAGCTGCCTGTAGAGTTAGGGATTGATGGTTAATGTTTGGCTGTAGCTATCATTACCCTGTTTGTACCATGTTTGTACCCTAATATTTAATTTTATTTATATATATATATATATATCCCATGCATCACAGTAGGCGAGTTCATACACTGCATTAGCATCCACTCTACACCATCTCGCCCAGGCAACACCATAGGACACCCGACATACATATGGCATGTCTGTGGTGAATCTTCACAATCCCCCGTGAGTATACTGTGACCTGTCACACAGTCGCTATCGAGGCATCTAACCGTTTCCACACACATAAACAGACCTCGTCCGTTGGTATGCATGTGCAGCAAAACATATGCACACACGCACATATGTGATATGTACATAGCAGGTCTCGCCCGCTAAATGCAACATACACCCACACACCGCTAGCCGTGCTGGCTCGACATTAACACTGTTTGTGCGTGTTGGCCTGCAATTCTTCGCAAGTGCCAGATGGTCTATCCAACGCCCCAACCCCACACCAATTCGTCCGTGCACATTCTCTTACACAGCACACTCTCAAGCAAGCCTCAACACACACCTCTACACACGCACACACACACACAACTATACACAAGGCGAGCCCCTACAATCCTTACCAGCTCCAGCTCTATTTGTTTCTGCTTGCGCTCCTCTTCCTTGCGCTTGAGCTGTTCCGTGGCCAGCCTCTCGTTCCGTCGCTCAATCTCTCGGCGCATATGATCCGCCACCTCCTGGCCGTATACAAACTTCCACATGTACGCATGCAGCAGCAACGCACGGCCCATATGCGAGCCTACGTAACTGTGCATCCAGCTCTTAGACCGCCTATCCACTAACTCAGCCCCGTTCACACCCATGTGGAGGTCCCCGATTCTGGACCGAAAGTATTTTATTTTAGAATGTTTGTTTTTGGACGTGTGTATGTATCGGTGCAGGTGTATGAAGATTCGTATAAAGAGTTTGTACGTATATGGTATATATACGCGAATATTTGTGTGTATAGTCAGTTCTTAAACTGCCTAATCAACCGTTCAGTCCCGCTCACACCCTATATATATATATATATGTATGTATGTATGTGTGTATATATTTATATATATATGTATATTGGTATATATATATATATATATATATGTATGTATGTATGTGTGTATATTTATATATATTTTTGTAAGTTGGTATATATATATATATATATGTATAAACATGAAACCTTCAAACAATCTGTATCGAATTTTGAACCTCCATAGCTTGTACATAATCGCCATGAATATAGTAGTTATGCGCAACAACAAACGTATGGTCTATTTTAGGCGTGAAATAGACTATCATCCCCCTGAAGATTAGACTCAATGAATCGCAAAATGCACTTTCGTGAACATATATATTTGTACGCATACATACGGAGTTTGTCTTAAATACTACCTACAATGTCTCAACGCACAACAGTAATACAAAAGCGTGTACCACCTCACTCAGGTTATATATGTATATATATATATATATATATGTAACACAAGGCTAGCATCTTCAATCGCATTCTCACCTAACCAAGGGGTAGTCTTGCTTGCGCGCAATCTGGTTGGCCGACAAAGCCGCCATGATCTTCTCGCCCGCTTGAATGCGCCCTACAAATTCCGCAATGAGTGCACGCACCTTGGGTGTGTCTACAGGCGTGCCTATCCTCCGCAGTATTACACACTTGCGTATACACGCAGTCTTTGCAGTGATGTGCTTGATGGCCACGCAGGTGAGCTGTGCACAATGCTGGGCGTGTGACATACTAACTAGACGTAGATAGTGGTATCGCTCGAGCTCGGGGAAGCGCTCGAGGATCACAGCGGCGTTGACGGCTTCTTCCGTCTGTGGGGAGTGTCAGATGCACTAGGCTGAATAAAGGTGTGTGTATACATAGACATGCGTAACTGCAGAAGCACAGATATTTGAGGCTATATGAAATCATGCGTTTGTGTAGATGTGTATACTGTCGGCCACTATAAAAGGGAGGCCAAGTGTGAGAGGAAGAGAGTTGTGGCAAGGGGTTAATGATGGTGGGAATAAGTATGTGTGTTGGACAAACATGCGGACAACGTTTACTAGGAGTGCCACACAGGTGGTGTGATGATGACAACAGATGACAACAGAAGACAACAGAAAAGAACACACCCAGCTAATATTCGATCTCTCCACGGCACAGATTTATGGATATGTGGATGAAGATATATATTGGTATTTCAAATGGAATAACGTCGTTAGAACGATATGACCAAAAAAGGCAATGCGTGGTAGTCGGCACGTACATACAGACAAACAAGGATACACTATATATAACAAAGAACTAATATACTATGATTTACGTATGAAACGAGAAAAATGTGTACACGTGGGTGAGTGTGTATAGATAGTACACGTTCCCATACTACAACGTGAATAGATACATTTCAAGATATATATATCTATATATATATATATATATATATATATATATATATATATATATATATATATATATATATATATATATATATATATAATATATAGTA